CCCCCCCCCCCCCGCCACTGGCGGGAGCACATGCTGGGATCTCACAAACCCAGACAGGTGTTCGTCCAACCTCTTTTTGAATTTGCCCAGGGTAGGAGCGAGTGCCACTTCCCTAGGAAGTTGGTTCCAGATCCTAGCCAGCCTAACAGTGAAATAGTGCCTCCTAATCTCTAACCTGAACCTGTTCTCCAGCAGCTTCTGGCCACTGTCACTCATCACCCCAGGTGCTGCTGGGGGGATTAGGGCCATTCCTGTTTGCTGCTGATCTCCCCTGACGAGTTTGTAGGCAGCCACCAAATCCCCCCTCAGCCTCTGCTTGCTGAGGCTGAATAGCTTCAGCTCCCTCAGCCTCTCCTCATAGGGCCTGCCCTGTTGCCCTCCAACCAAGCGGATGGCCCTCTGAATCCTCTGAAGGCAGGTTGATGAAATAAAGTTTGTAGGCGCATTTGCAAAAGGTGTTTTGTAAATTCCCTTTTGAGAATTAGTACTGAAAGATTGGAGAGAGAGTGGTTTTCTTGTGAGAAATATGCCCCCACCGGTAATAAGGTATTCCTGTCTTTGTTATATTTTCAGTGCGAGTTCCTTACGGTGTGCAATTGTTGTTTGGTTTCTCCTACATATTTTCCATCATGGCATTTAGTGGATGAGATAATATTACATTTCTGGAGGTGCAGCTGTAAGATCCAGGAATGTTGATGACTCTGTTGTGGGGTGTAGTTATTGTGGGGGTGGTGGAGATATGTTTTACATTTCTGGTCATGGGATGGTCTGGATCCATTCAGTGTATTTTAGGCCACAGGAAGTTTGCTTCCGGTGATGAGGTTGGCGAGATTCAGTGCTTGTTTAAAGGCTAGGATTAGTGGCTCTGGGAAGATCTTATTAAGAATTGGGTCGTCTTTTAGTATGGGTTGCAATTTTTTGAGGTTTTTTCATATAGGTTCCAGGGAAGAATGGTATGTCATAACTAGTGGTGTGTGATTCGTGGGGGGGGGGTTCTTTCTGTAGTGCAGCAATTCTTCACATGGTATCCAGGTGACTCTTTCAAAACTGCTATCTATCTCTCTGGAGGAGTGTCCTTGTTGCGTGAAAGCCCTTTTGAGATTTTTGCGGTGATGATCATGGGTGTTCCCCTCAGTGCAAATTTGTGGTATTGGAGGGCTTAGCTGTGTATTACAGCTTTCTTGATGTGTTTAAGGTAATTGCTGATTATCTACAGATATGTATGTTTGTCTATGGGTTTCTTTTATATGGTGGTCTGTATTTTACCATCACTATGCAGAATGGTAAAATACAGACCACCGCAATCTATCAAAGACAAGAATACCCAATTACCTGTGGGGGCACATTTCTCACAAGAAAACCACTATTAGTATTCATTTTTAAATTTAAATCTTAGCACCTCTTCTTTATCCTGGCTGACCCTAGAAGATGATAAAACTCTTCAACCTTTCCATACTGTTAAAATTCATTGAAATGTTATGCTTAGGGTAAGAAATTAGGTCATACTTATTATCTGAGAATAATTATGTACCTAATTCCTGTGTGACAAAAGAGTGAGTGGGTCAACCATTCTGATAAATCTTAGGTGTAGGGATGATTTGAAGTGGGGAAAATAGCTCAACCACCCACTATTTATCTTTTTCCAGCTATTTTGCCTGCAACTATTTGCTTGATTGTAATGAGTTAGTTATGTGAGGGGAAAACTGGACATGTATCAAGAGCTTTCAGTGCTGAATAATTTGATCTCAACAGCTACTGCTCTTTAAAGGATCTGTGATTGCATTGATACCTGAAAGGCTCTCCACACCATTGTTTTCCTAGCAATACTGCCAAGGGAACTGAAGACAGAAACCAAATGAGGGGTCCCTTAAAGTACAGAGGGGGCTCAAGCTTTGGTCTATGTTTTCTTCTGTTTTCACATAAAACAGGACCCTTTAATACAATACTCTTTAAGATCATTTTAAATTAAGGCCATATTCACAAATAGGTGTTTGGCTTTTTATGCTGATCTGGCATATCTTTGATTTTGTTTTTAAAAAAAATTACATCATATTAAGGCACCCTGGGTTTCCTTGAGATCCTTTCAAGGGTGCTGTGGAGTGCGCGATTGTGTTTGCACTGTTAGGTTTATAAATGTATTTCACAAGATAAACCTAGAGATATCAAATAAAAATCCATACTTATGATCTTTGAGTTCTTTGAAACAGAAAAACTGCTCTATTATTTGTCTGTAGGCAAAAACAGAATGAAACTAAGAGCTGGCAATTTTCAAGGGGTGCCTCGAGGCTAAAAAGGTTGAGAACCACTATCTTAAGGATTATTACATGGTATTCTTTTGAGGCATCACATCTAGTTTTTAAGCATGATCTTTTTTAGTGCAATATTTTAACAAAAAAATTCCAAGACCCCTTTCCGAAAAAGAAAGAACAAAAGAACCCCCTATCCTACTTAAAAGACAAAACCTTAAAGTTAATTATTAACATGTCCATCAGTAAAATATGGGTAAAAACATTAGACATGCAGTAAGTATCCCAAGACAGAGATCCATGGACTGAATCTGGTCATTGGAGCTATTGGATCCAGCCTGGAGCTGGATTCGGTTCGATTCGGATTCGGAGATTTAGTCCCTGAATCGGGCCAAATCTCCTCCGAATTGAATCAGCCACCTAAGCTTCGCACAGCCCTACTGTTCATCCCAAATAGGTTTCATATTTCATAGGCTTCTATTGCAGCTACCCAATAGGAGCAGATTTAGTCTGAGTCAGGAATTAAAATGTAAGGCGATATAAAAAAAACTCTGTAATCCTCTGAATACCTTCTTCAAGCCCACTCCTTTGCCATGGAAAGAGAAGACTCTCTAAATTAATCTCTTCAGAATGTGATAGACCACTTTATATTGAAACATGTTATTGTCATGTGCATACATAGATACTTGACTCAAGCATTCTGATTCTCCAACTTTATATTGACATTTATCATCCTAATGTAGTGTTTGTACTTATTTCCTTAATGCCCAAGATTTGTGCTTTTTCCTGTTTAATTGATTTATTTATGCCATGCCTACTTAGATATCACGGTGTAATCACCATTAGAGCCTTAATATAGACCATGTCTCTCTTTTATACATGCCCCTCCCACCCCCAAGTATTAGTCATAGAACAAACACAAAAAACTGTCAGAAAGGTTATTTTGGAAGATTAAGTCATTGGATATAGGTATTAAATAATTTTAACCAAATATGGTTAAAGAGAGGATTTTTGGTCGTCTTATACAATCAGTTTATTTGAAAATCTTTAAAATGTTACTAGAGGCATAAGTCTAAAAGACCCAGCATGAGATTTCAGTTTAAACAGGTAGCTCCTTAGAGGTACAAGCAACTGCAAGTTACATTCCATCTTTCAAGTGTGGTTCTGCTTTGAAAGCTGCCAACTTCTTGACTTTTTAGAATTCAAGTAGTTTTTTTAATTGCACTGAGATTAATGACATCTGTACAACCCATCAATCCACCTTAGATGGATTTACAAAACTATACTGACTATACTGCTTGCTAACTTCCCACCTTGTACTTAACATGGACAGATCAAAGATTCCATATGCAACTTTTAAAGCTACCTTTAAGAGGGGAAGTCAAGATTTGCTGCTCAAGAATGTATGTTAGCTGTTCTCCTTTAACTGTTACAGTTGTTCAATCCTGTACTGGGGTAAATTGAATTCAGCTGCCGTAATTTTGTACTTATTTTGTTCAGGCTGATATTACAGTGGGTTAACTGCACTTGCACTGCATTTTTAAGCTTATCATAAATACCTCATCCCTGTCAAAAAAAAAAAAAAAAAAAGAAAGAAAAAGAATTCAGTGGTCAGAAATAAAATAATTTTAGATCAATATTTAAATAATGTTTCTCCTCATTCCCAATCTTTGCTTCTAGGACATTTGCACCAGTTTGGGATGTTTTCAAAACATCAACAGAAAAATTAGCAAGCTGTCACTTGGAACATGTCCGGAAATTACAAGAGCTCATAAAAGAAGTGCATAAATATGGAGATGAGCAGATCAAAGCTCATAAAAAGGTTACTCATTTTCCATATGTATTTTCAATCATTTTTTACAATTAAAATATTAAACTGATTTGTTTTTGGTAAATGTATGATATTTGGCAGACTAAAGAAGAAGTTTCAGGAACATTGGAAGCAGTGCAAAACATTTTGAGTATTACTCAGGCCCTACAGAAGTCAAAGGAAAGCTACAATGCCAAGTGTGTAGAACAAGAACGTTTAAAAAAGGAAGGAGCAACACAGAGGGAAATTGAGAAGGTAAAATTCGGTGTTTTGTCAAATTGTTCTGTATTTTATGATGAAGCATTTTTGGGAAGTTTTCTGCCTTTTAATATGAAACCTATTTTGTCCTTGCTTTGCCTATTGCTCAGCCCTTCATCATTACATGTTCTTTGCAAACAATATTGCAGATTGAATTATTGAATTTGTAGCATAACCATGTCATGCAAAATTATTTTTTTTTCTGTTTTGTGGCATTTATGGAAATGGGGCATGCCTTTTTCAGCATTTTCTGTCCTCTTGGGAAATCCAAGTGCAGTTAAATATGTAAAGCCTCAGTCTGTGTATTTTAAAGAAAATAAGTTGAGGATACACTCCTGTTCTAGGTAGCTGAATAAACTTTCTGGGTCAGACCCATATGTGTCTGCTGTAGTTCTCAGGATTTGTTTATTAAAAGGAAAGTTAATGAGAACAGTTAAGATTGCTATAGTTCCATTTCTAGATGTGTTGCCTAAAGAGTCAGTAATAGCCTAAAATGTATTCTTATAACTTTTTTTTTTCCTGGAGAATATAACTATAGATTGAAAATAGCTTTTTAATTGTGTTCTAGATGGGAAAAACTGACCTAGTCAGCACTTCAGTTTAAACTGAAATGGCTTGAAGAGATACTTAGCTATTCGGTTTCTATTTATGTAATCATTTGCTGACTAGAAACCTTAGATAACTGGAATAAAGAGATGTTACTGGTTAACTCCTCCAGCTGCTTAAAACCTGAGTAGAAGAGACTTGGGGGTCCTCAAAGAGACTTGGGAGTCATGGTTGACCACAAGATGACCATGAGACTGCAATGTGATGCTGCAGCTAGTAAAGCGACCAAAACCCTGGCTTGCATCCATAGATGCTTCTCAGGCAAATCCCAGGATGTCCTTCTCCCCCTGTACTCGGCCCTGGTCAGGCCACAGCTGGAGTACTGCATCCAGGTTTGGGCTCCACAATTCAAAAAGAATGTGGAGACGCTTGAGAGAGTCCAGAGAAGAGCCACGCATATGATCCGAGGTCAGGAAAGCAGACCTTATGACGATAGGCTGACAGCCATAGGGCTCTTTAGCCTGGAAAAGCGCGGGCTCAGGGGTGATCTGATGGCCACCTATAAGTTTATCAGGGGTGACCACCAGTATCTGGGGAAACATTTGTTCACCAGAGTGCCCCAAGGGATGATGAGGTCGAACGGTCATAAACTACTACAAGACCGTTTCAGGCTGGTCATAAGGAAGACTTTCTTTACTGTCCAAGCCCCCAAGGTCTGGAACAGCCTGCCATCGGAGGTGGTTCAAGCACCTACATCGAACACCTTCAAGAGCAAATTGGATGCTTGTCTTGCTGGGATCCTATGACCCCAGCTGACTTTCTGCCCTTTTGGGTGGGGGGCTGGACTCGATGATCTTCCGAGGTCCCTTCCAGCCCTAATGTCCATGAAATCTATGAAGATGAATGTTAGATTATCTTATATTTAAAGACCATGCAAAACAAGGAGAAAATCTTCCCCTTCTAAGGTCTATCTAGTGTTCACTTCCCCACAGATGCGAAACTGGATGATATGAGCCCATTTTTCACTTAGCTGGGTCAGAAAGCTTCATACAATGTCTTTTGAAATTTGGTTGTCAGGTTAACTCTGATAACATTTCCTTAACAAAGGAGATGTGGTCTGACAATACAGATCAGTACAAGGGTATCTGTAAGAGCCTGCAACTTATTGAGGGGAAAGTCTGTCTACCTTCTTTCAATAAAAAAAAAACCTTCTTTTAGTAAAATTTTTTTTTTTACATTTCCATAAACTTGAACTATTCAGTATTTTCAGTACATCAGAAAATACTGTTAGATGTGGAGCTGAAAATTTACTGGCATGGGGAAAGCTTGGTCATGAACCAGTTAGCAATAAAGTGCCTAGTATTTTTCCCTGGTGGCTTTCAAAGAATGTGTTTGTCATTCCATTGGGTATACTCGTTTTGTCTTCCTTTCTCTTTTCCTCTGGATAATTTAGGGATAGTCTGCAGTATGTAGAACCCCTCTAGTACTAATTGGTCCAAAGTGACAAAGAAATTGTTGCTTTATGCAGAAGTCTTGATACTGTCCCAGATGGGCAAGGGCACTTTTGCTCTGCCTAACCACTTCCTTGTCTAGAGCAGTGGTTCTCAACCTTTTTTATACCAGGACCCCTTTATAAACTTCAGTGGCCAGTCCTGAGCCAGTGCCCCTCGCTCCTGACTCACTATCCCCCTCCTGCTCCAGTGTGTGGGGTGGGAGGGACGGAATGGGGGGTCCCAAGCAGCCCTTTGCAGGTTTCCCATGATTTCTCATTTAAAGGAGAATCCATTTTTAAACTCTGTTGATCCATTTTTAAAGTTTGTCCGCAACCCTTTCGTATATTCTTGTGACCCACTTTTGGGTCACGACCCATGGATTGAGAAACCATGGTCTAGAGCAGTGGTCTCCAAAGTGGGGTGCATGCACCCCAGGGGTGCGCAAGAAAATATTGGGGTACAGGAAGAAAATATGAGAACTTCTGTTTATATTTATATAAATATACATATATTGGGGGTGCGTGCTCAAAAATTTTTTACTGATAGGGGTACGCAATCAAAAAAGTTTGGAGACCACTGGTACATGAGGAACCAGGATTCTTAAGTCCCTTGGAGTCTTTCTTTTTTCCCGGACAGGTAGCATTGACTGCTTTATTCATGCAAAAAAGACCTACTTTCTTCACTTTATTGGGTGTGGACAGTTTTCTTTTAGTTATATTTTTGATAAGGAATTAGTTCATGCTTATGCATAGAAATCCAGTCTTCACATTTGTCATCCCTAATCAGGGGCAGTGGATTCGGAGTTAATCTACTGTTTCTGTTTCCTGAAAGTGGCAATTTTTTCCCTGCTTCAGTTCATATATTTTCTTGCAGCCTCTGCCTACATCTATTTGTATTATGAAAAACTGTTTGAGGTCCTCCTCTTGTAGGACTTTCATTTTATCATTTTTGAAGTAATTTTCTTGCTGGCTGACATCTTGTTTCAGTAAACAGAAGACCAAGGTATCCTATTATCTTAAGTTTTCATTAATTTTGTTTAAGGTTGAATTTTTTCCCCCAAAGTCTCATCTTTTCACTTAGACAGGAACATTTTCTTCCCTGTCTTTTCCAAAATTAAGAAGCTAAGAGAAAAAAGCCCAAGTGCTCCTTTTGAGTTTATCTGGATACCTGAAACCATTCAAAAGAGCAGACTCAAATTACCTCATCATCAAAGGCCTGTGGAAAGGCATAGAGATATAGCATAAAATAAAATGTCCTATAGCCAGGAGGCTTAACAGGCCACAGGACATGCTCAACCTGGGTTAGTGTCTGTCAAGGCTAAGTGCTAAGCAAAGATCTGGGTCATTGTCACAAGTTTGTGGTCTTAGGTTGATTGTCGAGCAAGAGACTAGATCAGAAGTCATACTTATGCCGTCAAAGATGGGCAGTATTGATCAGGCTTCAGCTGCTCCTATGCAAGTCTCTGAAATGGCTGAATTGCAACCTGCTTCCTGTGTAACATGGACCAATAGGAACATGTGTCAACCAGGCCACAGGCATGTGGTGATGACTTACTTTTTTTGCATGTAAGCACATCCCTAAATGGTGAGTCTACACCTACATGATGTCCACCTGGTGAGTATCACTAGGTGACTTGCACAAATGACATCACCAGTTTTATCTTCGAACACTCAGGGTGATGTGGTGGATGATGGGCTGCGTGAAACTTAGTGATGCATCTGTTAGCTATGTTAGTTGTGTTCTTGTCACTTGGAGTCATTTACTTACTGTTTCAGAGACCTATTAGACAAGAATCAACTGTGGACACAGTGATTCTTGAACTTAATAGGACAAAAAGGTGGCTGGAATCATAAACATAGGGAAACTCTTCTTATCACAAGACAAACAGTTTATGCTAGAGTTGCACAACAGTAGATATTCACTGAAAGTTCATCACATAGTCAAATATTGAACAGACTGAGGCATCTGAAAATAAATTCTTCAAAAGTTCTCATTGCTAAATTTCCTTGTTAAGGAAACATCCATCTGAAGCTAAAAGCTTGTGTAATGATTTCCTGTTACTTGCTGACATGTTCACATGAAAACTTTAACTTCTCCATTTAAGATGACCGTATAAAAATTGCTTTTATTTATGCTTTCAATTATATTCTAAAGTTCTAACTGGGGTTCCAGTAATTGTGTGTGTGTGTGTGTGTGTGTGTGTGTGTGTGCGCGCACATGCACATACACATCCTATTTGCAGAACAGATATTTGCTAATCATTTACTAATCAGATATTTAATTCTTCTCCTTGTGTCTTTTTTGCTGAGAAATGATGTGCCATAGTTCCTTTTGATGCAAGCTGCTGTTTCTGCCCATAGTTGCAGCAGCCTCTTGTTGTTGTTGTTGTTGGTATTGTAAATCCTGGGTACAACATTTAGACTCACAAAATGTGGGCACTGATTGCATTAACAAATTAATCCAGTTTTTTAATTCAATAACAAATCTTCATTTCAAAGTCCGTTAACATAACAATCCTTGCTTTATAAGAGTTTGTAAAAGGGACATCATACTTCAACATTCTTAATTTCTTTTAAATTATGTTGTTTAGTGAATATCTTCAGCTTTCAGTACAACAAGTATAGAATAGTATTTTGAAAGTCATGGGGCAGGGATATATGTTATATGCATTTCCCTATGGTGTTTGGAGCAGCAGCAAAAATATTGATGTGGAGCACATGGAGAATAGGTCCATTCAGGGGCTTGTAAATGCATCAGTTGAGGAAATAACCATATGCTCAGGATATCCCTAAACCTAGGACTGCTTGGAACTGGGAAGATATAATTGAATAGATCATTCTGCACATTCCCTCTTTATGATACTCTTCTTCTAAAGCAGGGGTCTGCAACCTTTTCACAACAGCAGACCAAATGAATGCAGTTCAGCTGCTGAATGTGCCTTGGACTGAATAAAATCCTACAGGCGGGATATACCCCACAAAGATGCTGCATCTGGCTCACAGGTCACAGGTTGTCAGTCCATTCTCTAGAATAGCCATTACTTGTCACTTTCTGAGACAAGCTGCCGAACTAAATGCTCTGCTCTTACTACATGCAAGTCAGGAGGGTGGAAAGGAAAGAAGAGGGGCTGGAGGGTCCCATTGGTGTCCTGCGTAATTCCAGCAAAATAGTGTTCATGAGGTGCACAGTAATATTTGTGAGGTGTACAAGAAGCTACGTGAAGCTTTTTCTGATGTGCCAGACCAGCCACGGTTACGCAGAGTGGCAAAATCGGTGGCAGTACCAGTTTCAGTAGACACTTTGAGAGATCCTTTCCTTAACTTGGACTTGTAGAAATCTGCATTCTGGCACAGCAGAGAACTTAATTATCAATTGGTTTTAAATAATGACATTTTTCAGTACATCATAATGTCAGACAGGACCCTTATGAACTAGTCTGATCTGTATAGCTCACCATAGGAATACCCTGAATTAATTCCTGTTTGAACTAGAGTATATTTCTTAAAAAAAAAAAATCCAGTCGTGATTTTTTTAATGATGGACAATGGGTGCATTCTCCAAGATTTGAAATTAAATCACTCTTTTTCTGCACTTTCTATTTTCTTATATTCTATTTCGTGATTGATTCACTTTCCTTTAAAAACAGTTTTTTTTAATCTCTTGAACTAACTTTTTTCTCTCTCTCTTGAACTTCCAAAGTTTTTGGAAAATGTCATTTGAAACTCCTTAACTTTATTTGCTGTGTATGCCAACCTGCTTCTACTTACAGGTTTTCCTCATTTTTGAACTAAATATTTTTTACTTCTAAAATAAGCTAATCAGTTAACTGCATAGCGATTTTTAAATTTATTTCAACACCAGTATTTTGCAAATTGGCACAGGTTCTAACCCTCCCTGTGCTCTCTTTCCTCCACACTGCATGTAGAAGCAGGCATTCTACTACGTATCCTTCTTCCTAGCTCTTCTACCCACCACATTATTTATTTTTGTATTACAGTTGATGTTATCTGGAAAAAACGCTGTAAAAACAAAGCTAACATACCTGAAATGTGGCACTTCAATTTAAATAAGGGTGATTGATTTAAGTTACTGTTGTATTGGCTAGTGGTACAGGGTTTCAGCAGAAATAGTGTAATTAATAAACATCTAAATTACCAGTTAATGTAATTTTAGGAAGACATTTTACTATCTCCTGCTTTAAGTAGTAATTTTTAGTGAAAATCATTTCTGCCTTCCTTTATTCAGAAAGACCATGGATCAAAATTATATTTTCCTATAAGTGTATTATCTTTTAATGGGTTTTGAATAAATGCTTTGATTCTGATCTTTGTATAATTATTCTGTTATACAGGCCTCAGTAAAATCAAAGAAAGCTACAGAAACCTATAAACTCTATGTGGAAAAATATGCTGCAGCCAAATCTGATTTTGAACAGAAAATGACAGAAACTGCACAGGTAATTGTTATGCTAAAACATCTTCAGTATATTTGCATGAATTCTACATTGACTCTAGATTTCTTCAAAGGGACAGAAATGGTGAAAAGTAATTCTATGCAGAATTATTTAAAGTAGATCTTCAGGAAGGTAATTGAGATTGCATATTTTGAAATTAATAAGGTACAAGACAAATGTGGAATGCCTGCCATCACTGAAGCAATGACCAGGTCTCCTTATAAGTGTTTAAATTCTTGGAAATGTTTTTGAGGAGGGTATTAAAAAGGAAAAAGTTATCCTCTGGGTAAAGACTTAGGGTAAGACTTAATAATACTGATCCAAAAGTAGATGCTTTTAGAGAATAATTAAAACTTGGATCTTTAATAGAAGAAATAGAAGAGTTAAGGTGACTGGATTTTAGGGGCAGGTGAGAGAGTATTAGCATGTGGAGAGGCAGTTAGTGTGTAGAAGAGAAACATTTGCATAAAGGGGAAAATAAATTGGTCATTAGTCTTGGTTTTGGGAAGACAAAAATTCTACAAGCTTTTTTCTCAAGTTTATGCAAGCAGCTACTCCATTTTAATAGTGTTAGTTTTTAGTACATTGCATTATAGGAAAAAGTAAGGAGGAAGAATGTAAAGCTTTATAGTGCAAAATTAACAGTTTAGTGCTCAACCCTGGCCTGCATTTGTTTTTGGTTTTGTTTGATTTCCGTGCAAGTTAAGCATATTCCCATAATTAATGTGAGTAAAGTTTTGGCTTTCCATCTTCAGTTCTGCCAGCAAAACTGTGACTATGTCTATACCTGCAGCTCTTCTATGGTGGCAGGACCCTTGCTTTCTGCTGACAGATCAGTGCTTGTCTTGTGAGCCACAGAAGGCTTTGAGGTTGTTTTAGGAAACAGTCAGAAACCTTGTACAGGCATGTTTGCTTTCTGCCAACAGCCAGGGCCATTTAGCAGCAAGTGCCTCCCAGATGCAATTCACAACCTGCTAGCACAACTATTGTAGTGGTGCTGTGTGAGTGAGAATGTACTCTGGCATCTTCCCTCTGGCCCAGCTGAGCAGACTTTCTTTTTTTGTTACCATTTCTAGGTGCTTTCCAAGGTTTTTTTTTTTTTTTAAACAAAATCTTGAGCTGAAACTTCTTACGTGTATTCTCAAGTGCAAAGGTGAATTTGTAGATTTGGTGGGGATCAGGAAAAGTTAAGTAATACTTGAGTTATTAAAGCAGGGATTATGGAGAGGTTTTATTTAATAATTTCTGAATGAAGAGTAAATATGCCTTTTTAAGGCAGTGGTTCTCAACCCACGGGCTGCATGTGGCCCAGTCAGCACACTGCTGCAGCATATGTGAAATCCTGTTAAAACATTTTTTTAATAGATACACAGGAAGTAAGTTGTGTGGGTGCAGCCCACATAACACATTGAGAGCTGCAAGTGTGGCCTGCTATGGTGAATAGGTCGAGAACTGCTGCTTTAAGGTAATATGTAGAAAGCCCTATTGCTGTAGGTCAGAGGTGCTCAACTTCTGGCGCACAGGCCAAATCTGACCTACAGGGCTCCCCAAAAGTGGGGAAATTTGGTGGCAGGTGAGCAGTGGCAGCGAATACTGCCACCCTTCCTTGCTACCAAATTCCCAAACCCTGCATGGTGGATTGGAGCCAGGCTATGCATTTTTTTTTATCCACACATCCAGACTGGGGTTGAGCCATACCCTGTTCCCTCCATGTGCCCATGCTGGAGCTGGACCATGCTCTCTTCTTCCCCCCCATTGGGTCAGTTGGGATGGGCTAAGCACTCTTCCACCATGCAGCTGGCTCGGGAATTGGGCCAGGCCTCCCACCATGCAGCTGAATCAAGGCTGGGCCATGCCCCCTCCCCCATAGGCCTGGCTCAGAGCTGGCCATGACCTGTTTTCCCATGCAGCCAGATCGGGGCCAGGCCATGTCCCCTCCCCCCTTGGGGCTAGGTCGGGGTTAGGCCAAGCCCCCTTCCACTGTGCAGCTGGAGTAGGGCTGGGATGCCCACTGTTCCTCTCCATGTGGCCAGGTGGGGCCCTGCCATACGTGACCTGGATGTTGAATTGGGACCTCCAGATCCGGCATGTGGACAGACTGGATATTGCTCATCTGGCCTTAACAGGCAGAGATTGAGCACCACTGCTACAGGTTGCAGGCTTTGTATTTTATAACAGACCTGGATTAATCTTTTTGGGGGTTTTGAATGGGAGACATTTATACCCAGTTCCTGAATTTCATTGGAGCCCCTTTGAATATTGTACTGGTTAGGGCTTTTCACCACTGGGGGCTATTTCCAAGTCCTGAGAGACCTAATCCTGAATTTCAAAAGGGTTTTTTTGACTTCTGTATCTGTATATGTTTCCCCACTTCATCACATGCCTGTGCCTGTTTTTGTAATGCCACATACCAGACTTTTGAGAGGCCTGTGGACCTAGTTGCTCCTAGAAAGGCAGTCCCTAAGAAGGTGACAGTTCTTGTATCCATGTTCTCTTGATTCTTTGGTATGGCAGACAGATTCAAATATTGTTTGTAAAGGAATTCCTTTACAGCCTCTTTCTTCCTCACCTTCTGTGGTGGCATGTCTCTTGCATCAGTTGAGGAAGGCACTAAAAATTACTTTTAGTCATGAGGCATTAGGTCTCCTGAGGAGGTGAATTTTCACATAAAGATTCCTGAGCTGATTCCAACATGTATACAAGGCTTTTTTCAGGTACAGTTGAAACTATCATGTCCAAGTTAGATGATAGACATCAGCACCCTGTTTAACATCAACAAGCAGGGAAGTACCAGTTCCTCCCTCTCAACATGGAGGGTCCTCATTTGTGGCATTGATATATCTGCTGCTAAGTTCACTGGTCTGGCACATCTTCCAGGCCTTTATGGTGCTAAAGAAGATCGCCTCAGCATGCTCATCATGAATGGGCAATCGTAGAATTCAATCCTGTTCTGACTTTTTTCATGGAATGGGGTCACAGGGCTTGCCAGAAATTACATCAGCAGCAAGGAGATTGTTATTCTGGGGTTCTTTGCAGCACAATATCCACCCGGTTCAAGGTGGGATATCTGCCATATTGCATGGTGGAACGTTTGGAGGAAGATACCCAAAAATTGCTATGGGTCAGATGTGAAAAATTCCCAAGATTCACCTGGCAGATTTTCTGAGAGGGCAACCACACTGTTTTCAAGCTATAAAAGCAACAGAATGGGCACACACAATCTTGAACTTGACATGCTACATGCCAGCCATTCTAGATTATGCTGATGTATGATGTGCATCACTGCTGTGTGTCACTGCTGGGCATAATCTTCATCTTGGGCCCTCAGTTGTATCACCAAGCAGCTGCAAATCTTGCTTTGGCAGGAACAGTATCAAGGGACTGAGATGGACAGTGCTGTTACATAACACTTGACAGACCTGTGTATCCTGATCTGGAATGAATGGCAGTGACCTGACAGATGATGAGGCTAGCTAGGCAATGAACTGGGATCATTTTCAGTGCAGGACTGCTGGTTCTAGGTATGGGAAACAGCCATGGAGTGGTAGGTGAGGATTGTGCTTCAAATGTAGGACTTGCAGTGCTTGACTTTTCAGAGCTCAAAGACACTTTACCACTTAAGAAATGCCTGCCCAGAAGAGCATTCCATCCTTTTACTCTTCTGTGAAATATGAAACACCATAACCAGAAGGTGTTAGATGTACACCTTGCTGGGGTCGTTTGACCCCAGTACTCTTTCCTGCCATGGCAAGGGGTCGGACTAGATGATCTACTCAGGTCCCTTCCGACCCTAGAAACTATGAAACTATGAAGGAAATATGACTATGTCCTGCTTACCACCAAACAACTTTGAGATAAACAGACTCTTCCAACTTTTCTCTGAGCCTAATCTGTATATAAAATGAACTGTTCCAAACAGGAGATTTTACCACACTTTCTTCTATGAAATATGAAGTTTCATGTCTACCCAGGATAACTTTTACAATCTTTTCTTCTATGCCTGAAAAAGAGTGTTTGTGCCTGAAAGCTTGCAGTTAAAGCAGGGTTTTTTTTAAAAATCTAGCTGGTCCAATAAAAGATATCACCTCTACCTTGAGTCCTGATTCCTTTTGCCTCTAGACCAATATGGCTACAACCTGGATACCTTACAGGATGAGGAGAACCACTTTCCTGTTAATCTGTATACAACAGCCCCAGCTACAGACTGCCAGTATGAATGCTTTGACTGGAGAAGGCAGCATCAGTAGCTATAAGGCAACTGGTAGTCTCTGACCGCTACTTGTGAACCAGTTCTGAATCATGTTGGTGGATGTGCGTTTTGTTCCTACTATGTTAGGATCATTATAGGTGCTATCCCTGTTTGCCAAGGCTTGCGTAATCCTCAGTTACTGATGGCTTCAAATGCATGTGGCTGTACAGTTTCACTGATGCAACTGATTCCTGTCTCCCATCCCTTCTCCAGCTTCAGAGTTCATAATGAGGAGGGCTTTTATTATTCTACAGGACTTGTTAAACTAGTGGTGGAAAAATTAGCCACATTAATGCATGGTGATTGGGCAACATTATGGTGCCTACAGATGTGCTCTTTTACATTCTAATTAGAATGTATCAGAGCAGACTGGATTAATGGAGTCTCCTCTGTGTTCTAACTAGAAAGTTCGAACCTTGCCTCACTGTCCAGTGTATTAAGCTCCCACACATTTCAAAATGGCCGTAGGGGCGCTTCATCTAAACCTCATCGAATGAGCTTTAGATAAAGTATCCTGTGGCCTTTATGAAACATGCAGGGGCTTAATGCACGTGGCAGTGAGCCTTTTTAATTAGAATGACTGTCTGGGACCTGCTCTAAATAAAATGCCCCCCAGCTCTTCTCCTCCTCTCCCCTTCCCCTCTCCCCTCCCCCAGCACATGTGTAGGCAGCCTAGGATTTTCAACTCTGTATAGAATTGTAGAATGATAGAAAGTTAGAGTTGGAAGGGAACTCAGGAAGTCATCTAGTCCAA